TGCATCGCTACTAGGAACAAGAAGCTACTAGGAACAAGTGCATCGCTACTAGGAACAAGAAGCTACTAGGAACAAGTCTCTTTTACTTTCTTCAACTCCAAGTCTCCGCAGCTCCGACAGCGCCACATAGCTCCGGCACTCAGCGGTGCAGCCACCGCGGCACGCCATGCTGCCTGCGCCGTCGTCAGTTCTCAGTTCTCCCCCTTCACGAGGCAATCTAAAAGGCTTTAATATGTTTAAGTTTAGGCATTGTGCGCAATCTTTGCCATTACATGATCACTCTCATCTGAGTAACTGAAGCAATCACCGCAATGTCTATATGTGTGAAGGCAATGTCTCTGCGATTGGATCAGTTGATGCATGTTGACCCATGTTAACCGTATATATTACATTTTGCGTGTGGCATGCTTACAATAATTACACACACACACACATATATATATATAGATATATACATAATATATAATATAGAATATATATTGTTGCTTAATATGCGATTTCCTTGACCTCATTAGTGAGAATTGAACAAGCACCCCAACGAACATCAACCGCTCAGGATGTCATCGCGTGGCTCGGCCATCTTTTTGGTCATAAAGCGTCCCAGGCAGCGACAGCGGCTTCGTACCCTCCAAAAGTCGCGGCATTGACCACCTGAAGATGACCAAAGATGACTGTTTTGAGTACTATATACCTGCTTGACCACTTGGAACATAGTTTGACATCTTACAACCGTTTTGCAGCTGTAAAACAGAAATGATATACAATGTAGTTATTTATATAGTATATTTATCAGTAAATTTGGTGAGGCAAGACAACATCATTGAACAATAAGTAGCAGCCTTCATTGAACAAAATGACATATCCTGGAGGTTCTTCCGCCAAGTTCTTGCTCCAAATCATTGCAAATGTTCGACACCCCCTCCGTCGAAGGGTAGCCGAGGGGCAAAGGCCCGTGCCATGGCGGCTCCAAAGCCACGTAGGAAGAAAGTGGTCCCCTCTCGAGAGAAGCCTGTAGAGATGGCGTGCCAGGGCTCGCGTTCCTTGGAAATCAGGCTGTGGTCCGCTGAAGCGCTGGGAAAATCAGTTTTCCACCTAGTAGCAAGTTAAGAGCGCCTAGTAGCGTCCTTGTTCCTAGTAGCAAGGCGAGGAGCCCTGGTAGCGTCCTTGCTCCTAGTAAACCTATATTGACTTTCAATCCACTCACTTCAAATCTTGATTGCACAATGTTGCATCTCGCCTGCGAAGTGGCGGACGTAGGCAGCGCTTGGATGCGGGCCTTCACCACATCCACTGGGTGGATCATGCCTGGAGAGAACGGGCATTGTACGCTTCAAAAATTCATACAAATCATTCAACAACCTGCTCGTGACAGAAGCAGCACGTGCATACCCTGGCAAGATCTATATATGCCTGGACGACGTTCGAATTGGCCGACACAGCTGTCACCGAATGGCAAGACTTTCTACTAGAATCCGGTCGCAAGGTCTTGTCGGGGATACAATCACATGATCCTCGCTATTAGGTTGGAGGCCATCGCTGTCAGAAACAAAGAAGAAAGAAAAGGAAGAAAGGTCTAAAATAGTGTGCTATTAGGTTGGAGGATGTTGGAGGCCACTATGGTGCCTCTCCTTTCGACGACCCAGTCGACAGAAATCTTTCCAAGAGTCCCAGCGCGAAGCAGCCAGCTAGGCCGCCAGCACATAAGGTTGAAACCACCACAGGCAGCTTGGGGTCCAGTAAGCTCTTGGATTCCTCGTACACCAGGAAATATACCTCAGCGATGCACTTGTTCCTAGTAGCTTCTTGTTACTACTAGTAAGGCACTTGTTGCTACTAGCGATGCACTTGTTACTACTAGCGATGCACTTGTTACTACTTGTTCTAAGGCATCTTCCAAATGCTTTTCTACATGCAAGTTTGCCTCACTGTCCAAGACTTGTCTTTCTCTGGCCTCATGAGGTAAAACCGTCCTGCTTCGCCACAATGACCCATTTGTGGCGGAGAGTATTGTGAAGGTTCCCCTGACAAGTAATTTACCAACAATGACACGATACAAAAAAAATATTAGTTACAGTTACAGTATATCCTTTGTATGCCTTTGTTTTCTTGTCTCTTTTTCCTTCCTCCTTTTTTTGAGCACCTTTCTTGTGCCTGTGTCCAATCTCTCGTTCTGAATGTCTTGGCCAGGTTTGACTCGGCCAAGAGGCACCGTACGAAGGGCATTCCTTCACTGCCGTGGGCCCCAAGCCCTGCAAGGCACCCTGGCGGAAACCAAGGTGTCGGATGCGGTTCCTGCCGAAGTCTACCGCTCAGAAGGGGACAAATGTTCACACTCCGTTCTGTTGAGGGGACAGTGTCCACAGCAATCGACAGCAAGAAGCTACTAAGACTTACAGTACTAAGAGCAAAGGCCATCGCTGCCATCGCTATAGCAGTAACAAGAAGTTACTAGAAACAAGTGCCACGCTAGTAGTAACAGGTGCCTTACTAGTAGTAACAAGAAGCTTCTGTGACACGTCTTACGTCTGGTGAGCTCGGTCCTAAAGATCTGCAGCGGCCTTTCGCCGGCCCAGCCCATCTGAACCTGGCACTTTTGGGTCGCTAATTTCGGTCTGCTCTTTCATTGCTTTCGCCTACAATCTCAGAGCAAATGGTCATTGAGCCCTGAATTGCCCCCTGCAAGTGTCTTTCCTGGTCCTTGTTCTCTGCGAATGCCCGACTGCAGATTGCTAAGTGCTCCAAAGAGGCCTGTCTCTGCGTCTTGACCAGGTCAACTGCACAAACCAGTGGGCTCTGAGCTAAGCCAGCAATGCAGCCACCCAAGAAGCCTGTCGCAGGATGTCAGCCTTTTTCCACCCTTTGCTGGATTTTGGTCTGTTTTGTGCTGGCTCACTTTAGCTCAATGCACTTGCAATCCTTACACCTCTCAAGACTTGGACCTATCATGACCTATCAGGGACCTATCATTACCCTCAGCAGCACCATGCAGCACCGCTGCTGATTGGCAAAATCCCCCCTCCTCGAGAAAGGAAGGACGTACGTCTCAAGGATGCTTCCATGGCCCTGCTCCCCCGAGCTGATTTACTAATGGCAAGCAATTCCATGGAGAGGGTGAAAAAGGTAAACAAAGGGACCAATAAACTTAGTAGCAAGAAGCTACTAGGTTGGAGGCCATCGCTATAATATTAGGTTGGAGGCCATCTCTAGTAGGTTGGAGGCCATTACCACTAGTAGCAAGAATCAAGAAGCTACTAGTAACATGCCAACCGCACGACGAGTCCGATTCGGCACAGCCGCCTGTAAGCTGGGGGGCGGTCATCAGAGAAAACAGCGCGCAAAGTGCGCTCCGAGATGCCCTGAACGCTGAAGACCACGGCATTGATGAGCGCCTCCCAAAAATGGACAAACATACAGTAGACAAAGGCAGGTTGGCTCAGCTACAACAGTCGGCTAGCTCAGGAGTCATGGGCAAAAAAACGCGTCCTGCAGCTTCTAGAAACCATATTAATCTGTGTAAAAAAAAACGAAAAACACATGAACAACAACTAATACTGACACCTTGCCATGTCACAAACTTCAAGAAACACATTTGTGGCTGACTCGACTTCTCGCACCGTGCTGCAGAAGGGGAACGAAATTCCTTTGTACAGAGCCCGCATGCCCTCTCCACCTTGGAGCAGGTGACTCTAATGAATGACTTCACCGCTCGGTGTTCGTATGTTCTTACGTCACCAGGCACTTGCATTCAACGTCTGTTTTGTCTCAAATCCTGCACATGCGAAACCAGCATACAGTTCTGGCATGTTATACCTTTCTATGGGACTAATACACACAAATTTGCTCTAAACTTACCACCCAAACAGGGAAAACAGCGAGTCAAAGTCCAGGCACGCACGGTCTCGACCAGAACCCGTTGGGTGCTGCTTTTGTCAAACTGCGGCATGGCTTGGAGTCTTGTCTTGGCAGTGTCGAGCGGATGTCCGGCAAGGATGCCTTAGGCTTGGACGCAGCACTGTGCAAACACGGAGCACCGAGACCAAGGAAAGTTATGGTTTGAACCTTGTTACTAGTAGCGTCCTTGCTCCTAGTAGTAAGGCCAGGAGCTACTACTGTAGTAGCTTCCTGCTCCTAGTGGCGATGCCCTTGGTTGCTAGTAGGAGGAGGAAAGTGATGGTATGAAGAAAAAGCCGTCCATGTTGTTGTCAACTCCGTGTCGAGGTGCCGGTCATGCCGCCCAGCGTGCCACCAAAGAAGTCCCTCGCCGCCTCCGACGCCATGGCGACCTCACGCCGCGCCCGCGGAGCGGCGCGCCACCCGGGCGCCTCAATTCAGCCAAACGGGCGACGGAGGTGAGAACATATGCCTCGTAGTATGCCTCGTGCCGCCTCATGCCAATGGCTCTGCATTCACATGTAGTCACTGTCTCTGACCGTCTGAAAAATATCCCCCACCCCCTTACATAGACTACTACTAGGTCTCTACGTCACATCTTTTGATTGGCCAAAAAGACTAGGAGTTTTCCACAACCTCATGCCAGCCGAAATAGCCTCACACCAGAAACTCTGGTTACCTCTGGCAATGGTTGTGGCGGCCTTGAGTTTCGGGGAGGAAATTACACCCAAGTCAAAGCATGTTCACTCACCTACTCGAAATCTCGAAACTAATGACCTTGCTGGCGTACTGACTCACGACAAACGCGCTGCCGAACCGATTGCCGATCTGCATGTTAACCGTTTCAGTGACCACCTGTTTTTCCCGTTTGTCAGCTGATTAACCGGCTGGCCAAGCAACTAAACTAAAAACTGAGCATCTCAAGGAGGAGCAAGTCAATCTGAAGTCGTAATCTCTCTCAACCCTTAAGCAACCAAGTCCAAAGAACTGGCTTGCGAACTTACAAATCAACTGATCAACCAGCTGCCAAATCATGTGTTCAACATTCAACTGTTCTCAGTCACACGCACATACCTCAGATCTTTGGAAGTTCTTCCATGTTCTTCCCACAGCTACTTGTAGCTTTTTGTTACTTGTAGTGATGTCCTTATTACTGGTAGCGTCCTTCTTCCTAGTAGTAAGGCCAGGAGCTACTAGTAGTGTCCTTGCTCCGTTCGCAGCGATGCCAGGAGCCCCTAATAGCGTCCGTGTTACTGGTAGCTTATTATTGTCAGGCCATATTCTCATTGCCCAATGTGCGAATACAAAAGCACTGCCCAACCCCGCTCCCAGCCCCGCCGCGGGCGCCGGGCCATCAGCGCCAGCAGGGGCCCGCGTTATGTGGAAGAACGAGGTAAAGGAGTCGAAAGCACAAAACGTGAAAAAAATTAGTCAAACTGGTCCGGCTACGTCACAAGCCGAGCCAAAAAGCCCTCAAACTCTAACAAAACTGGGAACCAAATGGGCATTCTTCATGAATCTTAGTGGTAGCAGAGATGAAATCCAGAAGTGCACCACACAACCCGTATCTTGCCTGAATTTCACTGCATTCGCAAATCTGAGTCACCAGCACACGTGCTAATAGCTCCTCATATGATCACCCGCAAGCACCCCCAAGGAGCATGTTCGAGCAAAGGCTGCGAATGCCGGGCGGAAGAGTTAAGCAATGAACTGCGGGGAGCCTAGTAATGTCACTATGCGTCTGTGTATGTATACATACATACATACATACATGGCTCAAGGCTGTGAGAGGTTCAAGCTGGTTCCGACAAGAAATCCAGCTGGTGCGGATCCCCCTGGCACCACGTGTGCACACAGAACCTCCTCACGGTCACCGCCCAAGAGGTGCTCAAGGGTGAGCGTCCTTTGCCCGTGATCTCCCGACCTCGAGCTCACCGCTTTGGCAGAGACCTTTGGCACCTGGCAAGTGCTCGCCTGGCTTCAACCTCCAGTGCTTGCATAGCACTGGTGCTACAACTCTGCCTTTGAGCACGGCCTGTTCTTGCCCAGGACCCTGAACCTTGCCATCAACGTGCAGTATCACTTGAACAGTGTCATCTACTGCATCCTGCACTATGACGCCTAGCAGCCAAACTTCCTGGTGCAGAGCCTATGTGGTATGTCACAAATGCTCCAATTGGATCTGGCAAGACAAACTACGACCAGATACCAGATGCCGCAAATGTGGCAGTTGGTGGCCCTCATCGAGAGCAGGCATTGGCAAAGGAAAGGGTCAAGGTCGACCTCAAAGATCTCAAGATAGTTGGCGCATGAGCTCCAATGAACTCCTTGACAAACCTCCAGGACTACAGAAGCTCAAGCCACTCAAGAAGACTATGCCCACACAGGCTGCAAACGAGCTACTAGCCAGCACATGGGACGTCATTCCTGCTGAAGTGCAATCCAAACTGCAGACTCCTGGCTTTGGACCGCCTCCTCAAGAAGAGCCAGGCCTAGAAGCCATCCTGCAAACCCACCTCAAGGAGCTTCCGCAGGCTGTCCAGGATGTAGTCAACAAGATGCACCAGCCCATCCCGGACACAGAGAAGGCACTGGCTCAAAAGCTCAAAACTCAAGTGACTGAGCTCAAAACCATCTCGATGAAGAAGGCACAGCTTCAGACACGCCTTGATCAAGTCAAGAGCCAATACGCCAGTATGCTACAAGACATGCAGGAGCATCAAACTAAGCTCACAGATGGTCAGCAAAAGCTCAAAACCCTTTCTGAGCAGTACATGCAGGCGGTCAACAAGACACCACCACCAGCTGAACTTGAGCTGAACGATCCAGAGCTTCCCATCCTGATGGCAGTTGAGACCTTTGTCACGAACCGGGGCATCAATTTGACAGCTCAGCAACGAAGCCAGCTCCACGGTCTCCTCAAGAGGCCAGGAACTGATGTCGAAGACCCAAACAAGCGCAGGAAAACAGATGCGCCCAATCTGCCAGCAGGAGGGGAGTGCGGGTAACACCACCCAGGACCATCTCCCGGAATTCCCAGGTGTCGAGGCGCCGATACCTTGGGAAGAAGTTGATTGGGCGCCAGTTCATGGGGATTGCCGCGCTGCCTCAAGCTCAGCGCACGGGGACATGCAGGTGACATGTGCAGGGGAACAGTCACACACCCACCTGAATCCTTTCACACAGCAACCACTTTTGGGGGACATCTCCAACAAGAGTACCAGGGACAATGCTCTTGATCATATGGAGAACACACAGGTCTACCAATTTTGCTGAAGCCAGTTCACTTGCCTCGACGCATGGGCCGCTGCTGGGTGCACCAGGACCACACGTTGTCAGCATTCAAGGAGGTGGAAAGCCCCGCAGTCAAGTGACACCACCTGCCAAGCACACTGGCAAGATGGAAGCCACCTATGCTTCCACCACAGAAGTCATTCTCCAGAACCTCACCATGGCAGTGGGGAACCCAAGTGCACGGTGCTATGCCAACGCCCCTTGGAGAGCATTCACCTGGACATGTGCATTGTTGCAGGAAACCAACACAAAAGAAGCTGTCCAAGAGTCCCTGGAACTTGCAGAGCCAGTGGACATCCAACAACTTCCTGGCTTGAGACCAATGTGGAAGAAGCACGACCTCAACATCGAAGGAGATGCCAACCACTTCGTCAACACCTTGTGGAATGTCTCTCAAACCAGGGCATTCCACTACAGATTTGCAGAGATCCAGCCAGGTGGCTATTTGACGGACCACATCTAACAGCCAATCCTGGTACCGTTTCCTGATGACTGGCCAGAGGTCACCAACCTCCAAGATCTCTTCAATGGGTCGGCGAATACTGGATTGGGCCAATACCTGGATGACAAACCAGTCCTGGTCAGCCACATCACCAGGAACACTATGGTCAATGGCACACCCACCAAACACAGCAAACTCTTGAACACCTATGGCACCTTCACAGTGCCCCGGTCACTGGATGGCTTTGCCAGATCAAACCACATCGAAGTGGCTACCAATGCAGTGCCTGTGGAGAACGGGTACATCAAGGCCTGACACATCACAGCCCGCACAAGGCCATCCAGAGGAAGGTCACCCGAGCTCAGCTCATTGCCAGTCTGCTGGAAAAACAGACTGCTCATCAACCAGAGAGCCAACACAACCTGGAAGAGACTAAGGGCTATCTACGATGCATGACCTGTGGCCTCAACGTCCACAAACGAACACATGAGGTTGCTTTCCTGGAGTTTGTCCGCAGCCAGTGCATCAACCAGCTCTACACCCCAGGCCACCAGGGTCACCAGAGTCACACCCTCTGGCAGAAAGGTGACACACTGCCAGAACTGTGGCACCCACACCCAGCTCGACGCACAACACCGACCCATCCTCACTGCAGGTTTGAAGAAAACCTGCAAGGGAGCTCCCATTGGTGCCTCACCGCCAATTACCGAAATCTTCAGGCGGCAAACAGCCAAGGCTAGTCAAACTCATGAAAGCCAGGGCTCAAGTCCGCCAGACCAGTGCCATGCAGATGTCAAAGACACAGCACAGATCCAGGCAGGCCATGAACCCCAGCCACACCTGGACAACATGGCACGACCAAGCCCTACCCTACCGACAGCACTTCTCCTTTAGTGCCAAGGCAGCTCAACTACCATGCTGCCACACCCACACCACATGATGCAGATCAGTCTCCACTGCTGCCAAGTGGGATGCCATGGGCTCCAGGCCATGATACCCAGCCAATAGCCCAACAACAGCCACAGCTGCCGCAGGCTCAACCACCAGCAGCCAAAAGGCTGCGATCCCAGCAAACACAGCACGACTGGCCAGACACCCATTCCGATGGGTTGCAAGAAGCGGAGACTTCAGAAAGCAGCCAAGAGCAAGACTACGAAGTCGACTTCTTTTGAGACGACACCAACCATGCGGCTGCCTCGCCCACTTCAACCACGGCAACTGGCGGCCTGCTGCTCTTGGCCAATGTGCCACCAACTCGTTCGCCTGAAAAGACAACCTTAGGAATACATACATACATCCATCCATCCATACATACATACATACATACATTACAATCATTACCATACATTACCATACATTACCATACATTACATTACATTACATTACATCACATACATACAGAGTCTGAGTCATCAGTCTTTAGACCTCTTTGGTGGACGCCCTTGAGTCCGCATCAGTCTGAATTGGCCCGAAAATTCCGTCCCAGGGACCCCACCCAAATGCCCAATGGCCTTTCTTTTTTACGTTGTTTTGTTTCTATTGGCCCGATGGCCTCCAAGCTAAGAGCGATGGCCTCAAACCTACTAGCCATGGCCTCCAACCTAATTACTAGCGATGGCCTCCAAGCATTCTGCGCAATCAGCTTGAATCCAAGTGCTGGACTGGTTGGGCGTGTCGACTTGCCGAAGCATAGCGCATTTCACATCCTCAGAGAGCACTTTGCGAACCTGTTACATCCTGCTACCGTCGGAATGGCAAGACCTTCAGGCGTGTTCTTTGCCCAAAGAGGTCTCGATCAGCCACTCGCAGCAAAGATCAAGTCGCTTTACACATTCTTAGAGGTTGTTCAAAGCTGACTGCCTGGCACGGTTCTAGTTGCAGGTTCTTTCAATGCGGATCAGTTGCTCTTTTCTCTGTTTGGCGAAAATGGGAAGTTGTTGCAGCATGTCCTCACAGTGCTGCATTGTTTCCTTGCCTTCTGGCTTCCATCCAGCTTAGCTGGAAAGAGCAGCAGCAGGGTTGGCACATCTAACAACTTAAATGGAACACTATGCCTCTATGTTCCTCGAGGCATGAGTTCCATGCTGGTATTCGGGGCAAATCTGGGATCTGGCATTGGCCTTTCGTCAGCTATTTCTGCGGCATCTCCATCTTCCGCAATATGTGCAAGTGGCCGTACACGGGCTTTCCACCATTCCTGCGAAGGATCACCTCAGGCAGCCCAATCCCCCGTGTAAATGCCTGCCTTTGAAGGCATAAATCACATGCAGCACTGCGGTATGAATCAAACATGTGCAACAAGCTAATTGGTTACATCCGGTGAAACAACCTACCTTACACCAAACACACGAGGTACATGATCGCTGGCATTGTGTGTGGTCTCCCCAGACCGAATGCCTGACTAAGTTGTTCAAACTAAATGAGGTTTATATATATATACAACAAAATGATGTAATGTTTAGCATATCTGTGTCCAATGTATGACTTTGTCTGCACTTCCCGTTCCCAGGAGTGAGCAAAGGCACGTTACTTCGCTTCCACAACCTGAGCAAACCCGCCGACAGGCTGTACAAAAGCTTATTTCAACTGGACCGATGTTTCTTTTTGCCTTTGCTTGACCCAAACAAACATACACATTGTCCCTAGCAAGTTCGGGCAAGTCGGAGGCAATTGACAAACAATTGCATTCGGTGGGCATGCGCACAAGGCACGCGCAGTGCTGCAAAGACCTACCGTCTTCACGAGTCTCGGCTGATTGAGCGCACGCCGCTTTTCACAAAGCCACGCGGGCCGTGTCAAAAGCACAGCCACACCGCTCTACCAGGTTGGAGGTCATCGCTACTAGGGTGGAGGCCATCGCTACTAGTACCTAGTTTTAGGTTGGAGGCCATAGCCAGGACACAACCACACCGCTCTACCCATGATTGTTGGACATAGTGCGGCATGGGCGCACAAAATGCACGTAGAGTGACACTATGCGACCACCACACTGCACACGCAGGAACAGTTCGGAAGTCAACACATTCATGTTGAACCTGAAGCCGCCAATGAATGCACGAACTCCCTGAAGTGAGCAATTCTCAAGATGACTGCCATAGCCAGGACACTTAAGACCAACCTCTTCTGCGCACTGCCGCACGTATGAAGCTGTGTGGATGTAGCGCCCAGTCTCAGCGAGCTTGAAAGTGCCCTGCACACAAACGGATGATATTCTTGATAGTAACAAGGGCATCGCTACTAGGAGCAAGGACGCTACTAGGCTCCTGGCCATACTACTAGGAACAAGAAGCTACTAGTAACAAGGTGCATCGCTACTAGTGTCCATGTTCTGCGGACCTTTCTGTAAGGGCGCAACTTGCAGCGCAAAGCATATCCAGTGTAGATGTTATGTATATATATATATTATGCCACACCAACCGGCCTACCAATAAGTACCATCTAGTCTAGGAGCCTTCTTCTTTGCAGGTCTTGCCTTTCCTCTTCTTTTGTTCTATGTCTCCCTTTCCTTCGGTTCGAGTGCTTCATGCTTCTTCATTGTTGGGGCTTTTTCTAATCGTGGCTTGCTTGAAATGCGTTATTCTCCCCTGGTTTGCGCCGTTTGCGGCCTCGGCCAGAGCGGACTCATGCTCGTTGGCACTGCCGCTCCGCGGCGGGGCCTCAGTGCTGAAGGCCACGACAGACCTACAGTCCGCAAGCCGCGCGTGGCAGGCGCGCAGCACCGGTGCCAGGTCGCCGACGTAGACCTCAGAGAAAACACAGCCCATCGCTCCGCAAAGCACATGAAGCAAGTGAAGAAACATCAGAATGCGGAAGCAAAGCACTCGCAACACATTCATAAATATGATGTTTCATGTCTGATTTGTGGTTCGCATATGTTCGCATGTTCAGGTAGAAGATGGTAGAAGGAAGAGAGGTTATGAACAGGCGCAAACGAAGAAGGAGACGACAAAAGATCTGGACGCCTTTGGCCAAATCGCGAAAACGTCTGCTGCCACCACCAGGTCAAATTTGGTATCGCTTTGGAACACGTCCACCAAATCACCACAAAGAAGTCGGTCATAGCCACGTTGCTTCTCCTTGGCGACCTGCCGTTGCAAGACGTTGCCTGGATCTGTGTTGCTTTGCAACTCCTCTGATGACCAGCCCCAACAGCATGGCGGGATCACGATGGCCAGTGTGCGATGCCCACTGCATCACTTCATTGCACACTATATACAGTAAAGGACAGATTGATAACACAGGAAAACAACACGCAAAGACTGTGTTCATGTCCACTTCGCAGCCCTTTTAAAAGTATATTTGCATTCTGTATCTTCAGTCCGGCCCTCCATCGCACTGTGATTCCGATCCTTAACGCATCCAAACACCATCCCGCTTCCCCAAGCTCGAACGGCTCGAGGATCTGGCCTGAAGCATCTTGGATGATAGGTCAACACCCTCCAAATATGTGACCCCAAGTTCACGCAAGTACGGGCCCATGAGGCCAGTTCCGCAGCCCAAATCTGCACACACCCCGAAGAGTGGCTCTTCCTGGGCCAAATGGAACTCCAAAAGCTGATGTGGATGGCCTCCACACCAGTAGCTTCTTGATACTAGTAGTAAGAATGCTCCTAGTAGCGATGCCAGGAGCCCCTGGTAGCGTCCTTCCTCCTAGCAGTAAGGCCAGGAGCCCCTAGTAGTTTCTTGTTCTAGTAATGGCCTCCAACCTACTTGCGATGGCCTCCACCCCAGTAGCGATGGAACACACATGCCATAAATGGGCCTTAAAATTTGGCTGGGAACATGCACTGCACTATCCACTGAGGGTGGGTTCGACATGGCTCCACTTGCACCACACTGAACTCATCAACCATGTCGATCACTGCCAAGTCTCCGAATCAGATTCTGCAGCGATAACGGCTTTCATCTGTGCCAGGCTGAGAGCACACAAATTTATCGTGCCTTCTAGAGAACATTGCAAACATTGCACAAAGCCTACTAGCGATGACCACCAACCTAGCAATGGCCGCCAACCTAGTAGCGATGGCCTCCACCTTAGTAGCAATGGCCGCCTAGTAGCAATGGCTTCCAACCTACTAGCAATGGCCTCCACCCTGGTAGCGATGGCTCGCGATGGCCTCTAGCGATGGCCTCTAGCGATGGGCTCTAGCGATGGCCTCCACCATAGTAGCGATGGCCTCCAACCTACTAGCAATGGCCTCCAACCTACTAGCGATGGCCTGCACCCTAGTAGCAATGGCTTCCAACCTACTAGCAATGGCCTCCATCCTTGTAGCGATGGCTATCGATGGCCTCCAACCTACTAGCAATGGCCTCCAACCTACTGGCAATGGCCTCCAAGCTACTAGCGATGGCCTCCACCCTAGTAGCGGTGGCCTCCAACCTACTGGCAATGGCCTCCAACCTAGCGATGGCCTCCAACCGGCCTCCAACCTAAATATGATTTATGTGTCTTGCCACGTCCTTGGTCTTGCCTGCACGAGCTCTTGGGACAGCAGCTCTGGAGTCCGATACTCCAAGGTTTCAACCAAATGTTCATCGAATCGATCGGCATAGCCATCGAAGAGACCCGCGACATACTCTGCCGGAGCGGAGGCAGTCGTCTCGCCACGCAACACAGCTAGCCAATGCCTCCACAAAGCACAATGACATATGCTCAGTGTGGAAGGGAACATCGAGGAATCCAAAAGAAGCACGTGTCACTTTGTAAATCAGATTCTTCCGCTTGGTATTTGTATTACGATTCACTATCTTGGTATTTGTCCCAAGCACGACTCCGTTGAGGTGTGTGGACCCCAAAAAAGGCACAGCACAGCGCACTGACGTTTGAGCACGGCGTGGGCACGGATCGGTGCCGGCCTTGCGCCCGCTTTCCGCCTGGATGAAGCAGAGGTGGCCTTGGATGCCTCAGCCTCTTGGGGTGATGGGCCAGAGATGGACAGAAAGTCCTCCAACGCCTTGGCAGCTTCCTCATGGTCTCCTCTCAGAAACTCGGCCAGCACAGTTCAAGAGAGTGCTGTCTTGACCCCCTCCAACTTGCTAAAAGATGGGACGCGTTGTAATTGTGCCTCCATTGGGAGAAAAACAACAACGAAATGAACTATCAAACAAGCAGCAGAATGGCAATAGATGCACTGCGAGTGGGCATATTTTCTTCCATCTGGAAGCTATTTAGCCCTCACCTGAAACACTATTAGTCATTGTGGAATTAGTGCAAATTAATATTGACATTGACAACAAAGAACGCATCTAGGGGCTCTTGCAGCTTTCAAAATAGTACACCTAACCGCGAAAGGCACTGCAAAGCATGTGGGGTTGTCAGTTCTGCATAGTACACCAAGACAAAGGTTGAACAAACAAGAACAAATCCCCCAAGAACACCAAGGTACACCGGTTTCACAACGACTTCTTTCAAAAGCAAAACACAAGCTGGAGAGCTCACAGCAAAGATTTCGCAACGACTTTCACAGTTGGGAGTATTGTCCGCTTCTGCATGCTTTTGTCCACAAAAAGAAAGATCGATGGCGAGGCCTCGCTCACGAAGGCTCATGCCCAGTCGGTAGAGGCATCCCGCATGCCGAGGCTTCAGCCGTAGAGCTTGCCGGAGCGCTTGCAACTTCTCCTCGCAAAAAGGTGGAAAAGCGCGGAAATCACACAAGACCCTCACCGGGGATCACCAGTGTCGTTCCTTTCGCAGCGGTGCATCCGCCGAGGTACACAGGTACGAAGTGCAGCATCGTCGCAGAACGTCTTCGAAGCCGACACGGTCTTCGTTTGACTGCTGCCATTGGTCCACAATGGCCCGCGCAGGACCCACCTGATACTATCAGCTATCCCCTTGATGGGAGCTGGGGTCGGCGAGGGTCGGCGCCGTATCACGGATAGAGCCCAAAGTCTCGGAGCCACATTCTGTGGCGTCTAGGGCCAACTGCTTGCCGTTCTGGAATTCTTAAAGATCTTAAAGTGTCATTTGAACAAATTCAGAAACTGACAACAACTGATACGTAAGACACGCAACGATTCCCTGTGATGTTGGTTGGCTCAGGAAACAAATGTGCGCCCGCGCTTGCAATGCAAGCCTGATGTAAGCGACAGGATGCACTGTCATAAGCTGTCTCTCTCTCCTCTTCCAAAGCTTTGATCTCATCTTTGCAGGACTTTGCCTTCTCCTTCTCCTTGGCTCTGCGCCGCCCTCCGGATCCCATGGAATGGTGTCAGGTTCTGCATGTCTGGATGACAAGTGAACTGATGCACATGAAGCATGTCTGGTGCGCATGAAGCAGGGAAACAAACCGCGTCAGGCCGTTTGGGCAACGGAGAGAGGTGCTGAGGCGCTTCATCAAACATTCAGTGTCAGTCTGCTTTTCAATGGCCTCCAACCTAATAGCAATGGCCTCCACCCCAAGAGCGATGGCCTCCAATCTAATACGAAGTTCGGCAGAAGAGTACCCCAATTCCCAGAATTTTTGGGGATGTCTTTGCCTCAAACAGGCAAAACTCTCGGACATGACCGTGCCACAATTGAGGTGAACATGCACATCAAAAGCACAAGGCTACAAAAATGAATGCATGTGCAATCTATGTTCTATTCCTATTTTCCATCTTCTCTGCTGGTTTCCATCGACTTTTTGTAAAACATGTCCAGCAGCATGTGACTCTTCCAAGGCACCAGCAACAGCAAAGCCATGCCCCGCGCAGCGTTGTACCACGCAGCCCAGCGCGTCTCATCCAACTTGCAGGCCTCCCGCAACAGCTGCAAGGCTTCCTGTCAGGGGGCAAGCCCCTGCGAGGCTTAGGATGCTGGTCGGTGGGCAGGTCAATTTGTTCAGTGGACGCACAGGCCGAAGCGTGGTGGATTTGAAGTGAGCATCGCTACGAACGGAGCAAGGACGCTACTAGGAACAAGTGCATCGCTACTAGTAACAAATGCCTTACTAGTAGTAACAAGAAGCTACTAGGGGCTCCTGGCATCGCTACTAGGAACAAGTGAAACCGCCTTGAAAAGTGCCAACTTGGTTTACCCCGATTGTTGTGGCTGCGGCCGGTGGCGAAAAGAAGCACCAGAATCTTCACGGTCGTTATTCATACCATGCCTCTAGAGAGGCGCCCTTGGACCGACCGCAGCCAGGCGAGGCATTGCGTCGCCTGGGCGGCTGACATGTCAGACTTAGCAGGTGCTTGCTGGTGAGACTGCGTTCCATCTATGAACCCAAAGGATCTGCATCTAGCGTCTGATCGCTCCTAGTAGCGATGCCCTTTGTTCCTAGTAGCTTCCTTGCTCCTTAGAGGCTTAGAACATTGATTCTGACCATGACTTATAGGATTCAGGAAAAGCACGCAACAAGCCCCGACATACTGAGAGATCGTCAACGGCTCACTGCGACCCAAGTGACCCGGGCGCGTGGAGCAAGGCCGTGCCCAAGGAGCACCTTTGAATGCATCGCTACTAGGAGCACAAGGACGCTACTAGGAACAAGTGCATCGCTTCTAGTAACAGGTGCCTTACTAGTAGTAACAAGAAGCTACTAGGGGCTCCTGGCATCGCTACTAGGAACAAGCATAAAAATCATAAAGATGCCACGTGGTATCACGGAAGTCGATGGTCATCTTATGTCACCTTTATTTCAATACACAGTCATTGACCGGTCTACAGTTTTGAAAGCATAGCCAGCCAACCTCGACCTGTCTGCAGCGAAAACATGAATTAGACATGTATGCTGGCTGCATAGGTTGTGGCAATTCTGCGTTTTGATCAAGGCCTTTGATGTGTGTATAACCTTGTTACTAGTAAACTAGTAGCTTCTTGTTACTAGTAGTAAGACAAGGAGCTACTAGTAGCGTCCGATCGCTCCTAGTAGCGATGCCCTTTGTTACTAGTAGCTTCTTGTTACTACTAGTAAGGCACTTGTTACTACTAGTAAGGCACTTGTTCCTAGTAGCGATGCCCTTTGTTCCTAGTAGCGAGCCTTGCTCCTAGTAACGGCTAAAGGCCGAAGCGCAGCAGCCTCGCCCGCGCATTCACGCTGGCATCCCCTGGCAGCACCGCCAAAGCACCACGAAGCAGCGCCTGCGCTACGCACAGCTCCTCTGCTACAGATTCGCTAGCTTCAGCCTCGTCGTCTTCCCCGACAAGCTTCTGGACCTGAGTAGAGCAAAGTGATAGTCTTGTGTTTGGATCTGAATGTGCTATGATGCACTGTACCTGCTATACCTGTTTGCGTCGCAATGCGTTTGATGCTCCATGCCCAACTGCCAACCACGGCCGCCCAATCTGCTACTAGCTACTCGCTACTAGCTCTGTTCACTGCCTACAGCGCCCCCTCAATTTAAAACAATCAACAATTTCTCTGGCACACGCTTTGATAGTAGCTCCTTGTTACTACGTAGTGGTAAGGCACCTTGCTACTAGTAGCTTCGTGTTACTAGTAGAAGTGACCGCAGCTCCCCTCAATGCGAGCCTTGAGGGCTCCCAAGAGATGTAGCAATTCTGCAGCTTCTGCAGAGGGAGACCGATCTGACCTATCTTCTAGATCTGCCCCGTCTCCACCGCCCCCAAGGCCAAGCAAATGGAGTGCTTCTTGGTAGAGCTCCTGTGCAACACCAACTGAATTCGCTCAAGCCATCTCAAGTCTACATTGAGTGACAACTGCTCTGGGGAGTCATTGAATTAGTTTCAGGCTTTTTCAGGCACCTCCTCCGAGTACCTTCGTGCAGGGTATCTTTAGCATTTTGTTAAAGAACCCCAACCACACCTACCAACGCCATACCAGCGGTTCGTCCTCTGCGCCCTTGAGATCTCCGGTCCTCGAGCGGAAAGGTGTCTTCAAAACTTTCGAAGCAACACAAAGCTTAAGAGTCACTTGAGGCCAGAGGGGGTGAACGAAAGCTAGCCGGGCTTCCGGTGGTCTGCTGCTGGTGCTGCTGCTGCTGGTGCTGCTGCTGCCGCTGCTGCGCTGGGCGCTGCTGCGCTGGGTGCTCTGCAGGCGCCGGGTCGTCTGCTGCTGCTGCTGCTGCTGGCGCTGGGTGGTCTGCTGCGGCTGCTGCTGCCGCGGCGTTGGGTATGCTGCTGCTGCTGCCGCTGCTGCGCTGGGCGCTGCAGATGCTTAGTGTGCTGCAGCTGCTTGGTGGTCCCGCTCACCGCGCGCAGGGGGGGAGTCGAACCGCGGGGGGGGGGGGGGCCATAAGATTGATTTAATCAATTATTTGAGGTTTCTGAGGTGCGTCCACCCCGTCACTTAACTTGCTAAAGCAAGAGCAACTCCAGCTAGCTAAGGCTAGCTTTCGTGATATGAGGCAATGGCTTGTTTTTAGCGCATATATATACACGTCAGAACATGTGTGCCCAAAGGTTCAAGGAATGTAGGAGAGTACTTTGGGAAAGGAGCCAGCCTGATTAACCCGTTTATGGATGACTATGGCTATGGCACCACGAAGTCCTCTCCATCTTGAAGTAAGGTTCTATAGCACTATAGGCAACATGCCCATTACAACAATATATAACCATGCTCTTCCCAGGTCTTTAACTTACAATTGCAATCCTTACTTCATTCCGGCGGACGTGAAGCAAAAAGAAGCCAT